GTAAAATATCAAAAAGTGTTGTCAATCGAAATCTAAATAGAAAAATAGAATTATCTAAGCCACAACGAGATTTCTTTTTGGGTCGGCATAGCCATAACGAATTTGATATTACTTTCTTTGTAATTGCCAAATCAAAATGTCTTCTCAAAAAAAAAAAAAAGAATGTAGTTTTGAGGATATTTTGTTATCGTGATCTCAGGCATGCCTGGAAAAAGGCTTTTCTGACTGATTGGGCATGATTTCCATCCAACAGAAAGTACTGGCTATTGTCTCGTTAGAGGTAACTTTGGTTTCCTGAAGAGCAAAAACCAATAAGTAGTTTCAAGGTCTAGTGCAAAGTTTGAAAATAGAGCCATAACTTCAAGAACTCCTCAATGAACTTGAAATCAAGAGTGCAGTGCTGTTGAAATTATGATGTGACAATCAAGCTAGCATCCGTATCACTTTTAATCTAGTGTTTGACAAGCGTATTAATTATATTGAGGTTGATATTTACTGTGTGAACGAGAAGCCTGAAGAAAGTTTATTGCCCCCACCTATGTCAAGATCAGTGAACAACTAGCTAATAAATTTATGTAATATTTGTACGGGGCTAGCATGAATATCTTTTATAACAACTAACAAGCTAGGACTAGGGCAAGAATAAGATTACCTAAATAAGTGGGAATAATAAGGTAATAGGTAACACCATCTAGTCGTTGGTTTTAGTTGTTCTCATCATTGTCCACATATTAATTATAGTAATACTTTGCTATACCCGTTATTCATACATGCTAGTCGTGTCTTATGTTTTATGTTCAGCTCCTCAGCCTATATATCCTCTTCGTCTCTCCATCAATTATGCCTTTCTTCTTTGAAATAAAGAAAAACTCATTTGAATTTGGTACATCTCAACGGTAAAAGATTGCTTGTGATGCACTGCTTGAAAGGTGGAGTCCAAACTAAGGAAAATGAAAATGAACATAAAAATTGAAAAAGAAGCCAACATTAGACAAGTGTGCAGAAAGAGTAGCTTATTGTGTAAGAGAGGCAAGGAAAAAGGAGTCCGCAAAGAGACCTTGGAACAGTGAAAGGTTTGTTTGAGGGAGATAGATGGTGCAGTTTCTTAGGCTTTGATAGAGCAATTTCAACTGCCTTTAACAGATTGTACGTACGTCCAATGTCATAACTCTTTTTTAAGTTGAGGCTTCACCTTTCCATCCCGTTACAACATGGTTGCATGTAATCCATCTACTCTGGGTATCGATGTATAGATTTGGTGCTTCATGCTCCAACAATTAGTATATTTTACTTTAACCCATGAGATTGGCTCAAGTGGCTAAG